GAAATACCTGAACACCAACATCAGAGGTTCTGCTTTGAAACAATTTTAAACAGTTCCACTAAACAAAAACCAAAACAACACAAAACTAAACTCATGATAAAGTATAAGCAATACAGAGCACAAAGTTGTTGTTGTTTTTTTGTTTTGCTTTTTAATAACGCTATAAAAAAAATAAAAAAATTCACACAAACATTCTGGTTTCTGACATCACATGCTTTTCTTGTTCACAATGCCTGTGAAAGGATTTATATGTTTGCGTTTGTTGGACATGTCAATTTCAAGACTGCCAAGCTGTCCCTCTAAAAACAGCAGATCTTTCAGTGGTTTATACAATGAGAACTTTAGCGACAGCACGGCATTAGAAGCAGCTCTATTACAAATAATAAAGGTTACTGTGCACTCATTAAAATATTTACTCAGAATGTTTCTGATAACCAAAACAATTAAAACAAAAGTTAAAAGGGACATTCAAGGCACTACAGCTTAACATATGTAATTGTTATGGTTCCTCCACTTTGACCTCACAAGGCTCTCCTTACAACCTAAGGGTCAACATGACTGGACCATCTTGTTCTATTGCTTAACATGAGTGAAATAGGCTGTGTGCGGTTAAAGGGACACGCTTAGCACCACAAACACTACAGCCTCTAGAGGTGCTTCCTATTGCAGTGCCACAATTGTTGCAGTACCTATGTTCGGCATCTTCATGCACATCAGGTTCCCCCACGCCTCTCTATAGTGAATTATTAGATAGGCTGAGATCATTAATAAATAATTGGTCTCAGCCGGGAGAAGAGCGGTGGCAAGGGAAACAATGTGAGTAAAAGTTCTTTATTTTACTATCGGAGGGGGGCATAAATTTAAATCATCAACACCTCTAGCGTCAGAAATACACATTTGCATTTTCAACATTAGAGTACGTTGTTAGTGGTATTGGCTGCAAAGAGCAAACAGAAATCTTTGGCAAAAGCATGTAAAGCTTAAAGAACCTATTTAAAGGAGTTATGGAACAAGAAATGTTTTTCAGAGTTTATTTTTATTTTGGAGGGGAATATTTCCATTGTATCGTAAATAAATATTGTGATTTTGGAAGTATATATTGCTCAACAAATCAAGATACAGTTTGTACCGTAATTACTTTTTTAGAATCAGAAAGATCGTTGTCATTATATTAAACATTCAAGATAGAGAGATATAATCGCTGCTATATGCTCAAGGGTAGCTGCATCAACTGGGAAAACTGATAGCCTTTGTGTTAATCAGTAATGAAGAGGTGAACTGGCTCAATGAACAAATGTGTTAAAGGACCACTATAGTGCCAGGAAAACATACTCATTTTCCTGGCACTATAGTGCCCTGAGGGTGCCCCCACCCTCAGGGACCCCCTCCCGCCCGGCTCTGGAGAGGGGAAAAGGGGTAAAACTTACCTTTTTCCAGGGCTGGGCGGGAAGCTCTCCTCCTCCGATCCTCCTTCTCTCCTCCCCGTCGGCTGAATGCGCGCGCATTCAGCCGGTCGCATAGGAAAGCATTATCAATGCTTTCCTATGGACGCTGGCGTGCTCTCACTGTGAAAATCACAGTGAGAAGCACGCAAGCGCCTCTAGCAGATGTCAATGAGACAGCCGCTAGAGGGAATTGGGGAAGGCTTAACCCATTCATAAACATAGCAGTTTCTCTGAAACTGCTATGTTTATTATAAAAAATGGGTTAACCCTAGCTGGACCAGGCACCCAGACCACTTATAAAGCTGAAGTGGTCTGGGTGCCTAGAGTGGTCCTTTAAATATGGTCACAGCTGGGAGCAAATTCAAAACGTGAAACTCAAAAAGTTTCATATGTTGTTTACAATACTGGACAATAATATCCGATTGCCAAATGCAACATTTCCAGGTTAATTACCCATCAACGACCAATTGCACACCATGTTTTCCCTAACCCTTAAAAAGATATTCAATTATTTGTAAAAACAAACAAACTGAAGATGAACATCAAAGTTTAGTTTCAGCAAATTTGGAAGCCGAAGGTGGGAACAGCACCCCCTCTCCATTTTCATTGTGGAACCTAATAATAATAATAATAATAACAACAACCACCTAAAAAATAAATGTATACAACTATTAAGAACTTAAACACCATCTCAGAAAATGAAAAACATGAATAATGCTGCTTCTGGTTGTCTGAGCAAATTGGGAGTTGTAATTCAATAGCAGCTGTGTGGTTAATTCTTGGCCACCTGATATGCTGAAAGCTCCAACATTGCTATTTTTGGTATATAGAGATTTGCTGTTAAAACCCTATTTGAATATTCCAGACAAAGGTAGGCGTGTAATGTATCTGGGGTCAGAGGTAAACTAAACTAAAAGGAGATGGATAAGACTCTAGAGCAGGAGTATTCCAGAACAAGCCAGAACAACTCTGGTTAGAAAACTATAACTTTCACAATAAAAAAAAAATAATGAAAATAAACGTAAAATAAAAAAAAGGGACAGCAACGGTTCAAGAAGAAGGGCAATTCACTAAGAAATCCACTTTGACTATTTGAATAACTCTTGTCTGAAAGCCCATGGAATATGGTAAGCCATTAAAAATTTAACTGCAATTATTATAGAGTTTATTTGCTACCCTGCCTATCCGTTAACAATATTATTAAACATTATTCAGCGTTTTCACTAAAAATCTCAGGTGGTGATCGAGTTTTCAAAAACAGTAAATAAATATGTAAATGTGAGTAATATGATTTCCCCACAGTGTTAAACCTTTTTGAATGGTGAAGTCAGCACCACTGGTAATACCTAGTGTATTCCTCAAATGTGGGTCTTGGGAATGTGTACAATGCATACGTATTCTCTTTGTATTCTATACCCAGCATGCTCCGAGCAAGATGTGTGGGAGAGAACAGCTTTATTGGGGTAGAGCATGTTCCACCACAGTGATTATAGTATATACCGTCACACTTGCCTCCTTTCTATAAAGAAGAAAGGGCCTGTGGGAAAGCAATTAAAAAACATACAGGAGATTAAAAAAAGAGATCTCCAGATTGTCAAGAGGATCTGATTCAGCAAAGAACCATATAAAGGAAAGCCAGGCAGCATGGGTACAGAACGTAAAGAACAAAGATCACACAACTTAATTCTATGTTTGAAAATGTTTGTTTTTTAAATGAAGTATATTAGAATTAAGAAAATCCCTTTCCTACCAAATAGTCTCCCTGCTTCCACCTGCCATATTTCTCCTTTGACCTGTATAAAACAGCCCTCCACTCTCCATTACCTGCCTTGCTTCAGCCCATGCACAGGGAGATAGCCTCACCAATCATCGCACTGTGTTCTCTTCACTGCAAGCTAGCTGTGTCTCCAAGGTCTCTACCCGTGTATGTTTTTAATGGCATTTTCTCATCTCTACATATACAGAAAGTTGGCCTTTATCACATTATCATGGGAGATCATTCATTTCCATTAAATGCCAGACTGTGCCATAGAAAAGCAACCGTTTATGGGTAAAAAAATATAGCACAACCTGTCAGTTTCAGTGGTCTACAAAAACTTGAGAAAGTTATGAATGCAATACAAATGCATTACTGCCGTTTGGAGGCACACATGCTGCCCCTGCAGCTTTGCAAACAAAAGCAGTGCTGTTCCTGCGAAGAGGCAAGGTTTACGTTTAGCAGGTTTCACACCTACTAGCAGCTGTTAGAAAGACAATAATTGAATGAATTTGACAGTGTGCTGACACCAGACGCTGTGTACATCCACACGTCACTAGGAGAAATCAAGCACTAGGTTGGTCAAATGTGATGACTGCCTGGGAGACAGATTAGGCTGCAGTGAGTCATCTGTCTCAGTTCTGGAACAACAGCAAGTTTTTATGCGTTTTAAAAAACAACCTCTGTTGGAGGGGTTGTGGACACAGGGGGACATATAAACACATGTGGTGGGACTGCCCTAAAGCGCAGTAGTTCTGGGAAGAGGTATGAGGCCTTTTGGAGAAGGTATTCCGGACAAGGGTAAAAAGAGACCCATGGGTGTTTCTACTGTCCAGTAGATGACTGGCCAAGAAGGGAACACACTATTGCACAAACTCACCCTAGCAGCCAGGCGAACCATGGCACAAATATGGCTCAAACCGGACATCCCCCACTGGACACAGTAATAAATAAAATTAAAGACACCCATATCACGGGCCATCTAACTACACAGGTTAGAGATACAATGAAATCATATTTAAAAAAAAAATAAAAAAAATTAAAAAAAAGTATGGGAGATGTGGATGGCTGGAAATTAGAGGGGACTAGGGGTAGTTGGAGCTGGGAGGGGGGACATGATACCCTACACCCAGAAAAAAGAATCCCACACCTGGCCTTCCGACTCAGAGGTGCCACAAACCGAAGACAGACATGAAACTCTTGTCGGGCCAACTGATCTAGAAAAGGCACGAACCTTAGCACAGAAACCTAACTACAGCAAGCATAAAAACATCCGTACACCCCAAACTGACCATGTGAGGGACACTATCCTTTCCTTCTCCCCCCCTCTTCTTTTCTTTCTCTACCTCGTGACAGTCTCATTAAACTGCATGTGTTCATAAGTGGCTGACTTGCGAACAATCTTGAAATGACACTGTTTGTGTTAATGTTATGGTTTTGCAATATGTTTTTGTTTAATAAAAAATGGTTGTCAGAACGCTAGACACCCGTGAAAAACAGCAAGGATGCCTACCAGCACCAATTGCCAAAACAATTTGAGTCATGACAAATGCCAACCTGTATCTATATTGTTGTCCAACAAATGCATGTAAGATTTTTATGGTTATCACATGTGATGCAACGACAAAGCAAAAATAAAGAGAGTTAAAAAAATAAATTCTATATATTATATATAGTTATACAAAACAAACTACACTTAATAGGCATTAGACATTCCTAGCCACATTTCTTTTGGTTTCTAGGTCATACAATAGGACATGCAGTGAAAACAAAATAACCATACGTTAAAATCCGTTCTCACCATTACTTGCTCCTTTAAATGCTCTCTCTCGTACAATATCTTCTTTCTCTGATGTCACGGGTGGCTTGGAGATCAAACGGCGGCTCCGAAGAATATAACCCTCTTCCTCCGTCATTCTGATGGCACTATTTTAGAAATCACAGATAAACAGTAGAATGACAATGGCGATTAACAAAAAAAAATAAAAAAATATGGTTGCCCCTTTCTATTTCCTGTCAACTGGAAAAATATAATTATATTAGAAAGATTCTAAGGAAGAAAATACAAATAAAAGGCACAATTATGGACTGAACTGGCAGATAGTATTTAGTGATTCTTGTGAGAGTCTGCTGGTATAGACAGGTAATGTTTTTGGTGGTGTGTTGGATACAGGATGTGATTATGTGGCATTTAAAACAAACACAAAGTTAAACAAAGGTTGACATGTTTTTTGGCAAACAGCCTTCCCAGGCCATATAAATCAGTACACAAACACGCCGTGCGTACTGGAAACCAGCGGTAACCTGGAGATTAAAACTAGTCGCATTACTTGATATCCAATACTCAATTTAACAAGCACTGCAGAATATCTTATCGGTTTATCCTTGGAGAAAGGAAAGTCTTTAGCAAAATAGTACAACACAAAAAATTAATTATTAAAGGAACGCTATAGTGTTTGGAATACAAACATGTATGCTGTTTAGGTAATTGGCCCCTCAGATTGCAGTGAAAGGGTAGTTTGACTCCCTTGCAGGTCTGGCAGCGGGTGGCCCTGCCTCCCATAGGAAAGCACTGGGAAGCTATTGCACATGCACGGCAAAACGCTGCGCCAATCAGCCTCTGAATCAATGCATATCTATGAGAAGCGATCAGCGTCTCCATGCAAAGTGTGGAGACGCTAAACGTAGCACTGAGATAGGAAGCACCCTAGAGGCTGTCTGAGTGACGGTCACTGGAGGTGTGCAGGGATTCTGGTGTCTGAAAACAATGCAGGGACAGGCTATAATGTAAATTATGCCTTTTCATAGAAAAGGCAATGTTTACATTGCTGCTCAGCAACACTTAGACAGCCACTAGAGGTGTTACTAGGCAGCAATGTAAATGCTGCCTTTTCTCTGAAAAGTTACATTACATTTACATTGTAGCCTGTCCCTGCAGGCTTTTCAGACACCAGAACCACTGCGTTAAGCGGTAGTGGTTCTGGTGACTATACTGTACCTTTAAAGGAGCACTCTATGCATTATAAAAAAGTTACAGCTCACTATCGTAGGTCAAGGGACACTACAGATTTGCTGAAGTGCTATGTGTGATGAGTATGCCTTTTTTCTTAAGTTTACAAAGTCCAGATTTCAATAGAAAGCAGCACTTTTATAAATTAGCCTTGTCACACCATCTGGCTGACAATCAGACAACAGGCCCTGCTACTTCCTGGTTTGATTAGCTTAGTGGAGCAAAACTCAAGAAGCAGGCAATTTCTCCTCTCTGTGTCAAACCATTTTCACAGCTCCTAAATACAATCCCCCTGCCAAACTCTAGCACTTCTATCTCAGTAACAATAAATCACTCCCCATATTACTAGCACATCCTCCTTATATTTCATTAAAGGACCACTATAGGCACCCAGAACACTTCAGCTTAATGGGTTAATCCAGCCTCTAGTGGCGGTCTCATTGACAGCCGCTAGAGGTGCTGCCACGCTTTTCACTGTGATTTTCACAGTAAGAAGACGCCAGCGTCCTTAGGAAAGCATTGAGAATGCTTTCCAATGAGACTGGCTGAATGCGTGCGGCTCTTGCCGCGCATGCGCATTCAGCCGATGATGGCAGAAGAAGGAGGAGATTCCCCAGCGCCAAAGGAGCCCGGCCCTGGAAAAAGGTAAGAAATTAATCCCTTCCTCACCCCTCAGCCCGGTCGGAGGGGTACCTAGAGGGTGAGGGGGACCCAAAAACATACTTGTCCTTTAAGCTCACATCCCAGTACCAAGACATCAATGTAGCAGTAGCACATCTCTTCTTCACAACATTGATAGATCACCCACCGACATCTCAGAACCAAACCATCATCACCCCCTATATTGTAGTGCCCGTACATCACACAATGCCATTAATAAATGAGAAGCATGTAACACGGCACAGGCAGGAGTCAATGAGTTGCTATCACAAGCTTTTTTATCACTAGCATGTGATAGTATGTTTATTGCTCCAACATAAAAAAAACAGCAGAAATTTAATTTTACATTATTTGTTCATGTAATCAGATTATCTACAGATGCACAAAATTAAAATGTTAGCAAATTTACAGAATGTTTAATTTTGGAAATAATAATTCTATGCACATAAACATGTATCTGCTGATCAAGGCAACGTGAAAGTGACCTGTAGGAATCATGATGATGTTTGAGGACATTATCAGACTGATAACTAGTGAGCAAGGAAGTTCACAATGAGGACAAATCATATCAACATCATTCCCCAAGGTTTACAATAAACCATAAATATATTAGGTGGAGAACAAAATATGGCGTGACCGAGGCAGTCACAATTAACACTTTGTCCACCAAAAAAAAATTAAATAAATTTTTTTAAAAAGGATCTGAGAAACGGATTTCATAGTGTATTCTTTATTTTGTTTCCTTTTTAGATGTGTATATTACACACACAAAAAAAAAATAAAAAAAAATATATATATACACACACACACACACACACACACACACACACACACAAAAATACACATTTGCTTTCTAGCATTTTGAATGCTTTTCTTTTTTTATTGTTACATTTAGTTTCCTGATTTCATGTCTCCTATTCTTCTAATACATTTTGAAAAAACTAGGGTGAAAATAAATTAATTAGAGGAAGTGATGGTTGCACTGACAGCCAATCCTAGTTTCAAAAAGGAAATCTGCAGGGTGGGCAGAAACATTATCTTATTTGGACAAGTATTTTTAGTTACAAATATTTAGTTAACATTAAATGGAACAATTTAAATTTTATGTGAAATTCTCTGACTTATACAATAAGAACTACTGCCACACAGTGTTCACACAAATCCAACCATGAATGGTCTTAAAGAAACAGTCAGGGCACTATAACCACTTCATTGAAGTTAAGTTTTTATGGTGCCAGGAGGTATTTTATCAAGCTCTTTCTGTCTGGGGCTTCCACTAGCTAATATTCTGAAAGCGGATGTGGACGGGGATAGTGAGAAACAGTGATGAGATGACAACTTTAATCCCTCCAGGGATCTCCTAGCACCATAACAACTTAATTTCGATAAACGTTGTTATGGTGCCCATAGTGTTCCTTTAAGAATGTGAAACACATAGTGTCGAAGGATTCTGTGCTAAAATAGTAGCGTGAAAATACTAGCGATTTAGACTACTGCTGCTTCATGAAACTTGCATGGAATCGCAATCATTGTATGAGACAGATTAAGCTTTCCTACAGTTCTAGGAAATCTTAATTCCGTTTTAGAATGTTTTGACTTCTTAACTGGGTCTCACCAAGCAACACTCCTCACCTCCTAGCAGTAGCCAGGAGAGCCATAATCTCCTGTTCTGAGAGATTATACCATTCTAAAACTGTTTGACTGCTTACTATGGAAGGGGTGCCAGGGCACACCTTGTACCATAGCCACTACCTTAGGGTGTAGTGGTTATGGTGTTTGGAGTTCCTTTTATGGGGTGTTAATCTTTCTAAGATTCAAAACAAATGTTACCATCCAGGTATATGCCAAGAAACAGTCACATAAGAAGGTTTTGTTTTGTTTTTAAAGGAATGAGCTGAAAGTCAGATTTCGCATAAGCAGCTAATTATCTGAATTATTTTTATTACAAGGACACTCCAGGCACCAAAGCAACGTACATCTAAATTAAGTTATTATGGTGCCCGGAGGTCCCTGAAGACTCAAGGGGTTAAACTATTCTCGAACACTTTAACCTCAAAGTTGCCTGTAACGTCGGTATCAACTCACCCTAGGTGGCACCCTGCTTCTGAATTTTCAGCTGACACTCTCTGCCAATCAGTGACTCCCCACTCACTAACTGGCTTGGGAAAGATAAATTGGAGGCAACTTTTGGGTTAAACCGTTCAAGGAGGAGAAGCCGCATGGGTCTATACAGCCAAGTATGGCAAAAACCAAGACGGTGCTTATTTGCAGAGTGTGGCCTTGCTTCGTTAAGTAGCCCTAACCAGATTCTATTGCAATAAGTTCTGCAGCTGCTCGGAAGTACCTAGATGAATTGTCAAAAGCCAAATGCCAGGACACTAAGGTAGTGGTTATAGTGTTTGTTGAGTTCCTTTAACCATGGAAAATAAAATGTTTTTTTTTTTTTTGCTAGCTTCCAAATACATTCTGGAGTGTGGTGGGTGTTGACTCAGAGTTATAGTGTAAGTTTGGCAATCAAACCTGTGACTCTGATATACTGGAGCTCTATCCTCTGTGCCAGTTTCTTTACTCAACTTTTGGGAGCCTTGTGCTGGCAGCTTGGTATTCGCTGACAATGTTGGTTCTATAAGGACTAGCCTTTCTTCTGTCACTAGAATTATTAACTAAGCAGCCCTTTGAAACACTATACCTCCATCGATGACATATACTGTATATCAGGGTAAGGCTGTGCAGGCACATACTTGCTTACAAATACATTAATTTGTGCATATGATTTTAAAATGGGTGAAACTCTGGATAACAGAGGGTCTTAAATTTAACCCCTGGACACTACACACAGTGGATGAGGTTATGGGGTCCCCTCTGGGTGATAGAGAGAGTACACTATAACTAAAATACATGAGAGTTCTAGGGACATTTAAACAAACAAATCAATTATTATTATTATTATCATCATTTATATAGCGCCAACAGATTCCGTAGCGCTTTACAATATTTGAGAGTCATGTCTTTTATATTCCACTAGGTTTTGTTTAAAAGACTAGTTTTCATTAAATCTTAGGGTAGCACTGAAACATATACATCCCTTCTATTCCCACTCACAATCGTGGAAAACCAACCCACACACATGTATTACTACACTGATTCAGAGTAATGGCATTATACCTAATAAGGGCATTTCAAATGATCACATTAGTTTCCTTTTGTTCAACAATTCTCATCACCCTCTCTAAAGGCTGATGGGAGTTTTAGTCGTTCAAAAGAGTTAATTTGATTTAGTTAGCTTGATTGTATGTAAAGAGAGACTGGACCTGTTTCCTGGCAAGACTTGAGAACAAAATAAGATAAAATGAAAGGAATAATAAAATTTAAAAAAAATAAAAAAATAAAAAAAGGAGGAAAGAGTTTAACAAAGGAGTGGGTTTTAACCTCTTAAGGACACATGACGTCATGATTCCCTTTTATTCCAGAAGTTTTGTCCTTAAGGGGTTAAAGGAAATTACCCTGCATTCTTTAATTCAGTGGACAATTATGCCAGATATTATAGAAAATAAAATATTAACAGATGGCTAATCAGTGTTCTCCAAGAGCAGATGGCAATCAGAGGAATGGTGTGCTAGCCAGGACCAGTCTGATACCCAATATGCTCCTATTACAGTCTAAATACCAATACATCACTGAGCTAATGAATGAGACGAAGAGAATATAAAACAAACTTACGTGTTCCCGTACCCGATTCAGTGGCGGGGGTTTCCTGGACCCGGTGGCCGGTGTGGGGGTGCTGCTGGAGCCTTTGTGATGTACAGGATGTCCTCCCCCAGACTGATGAGCTGAACTGTATGAACAGAACTGCCTCCAGCTCTATTCAATGAAACCAACACGTCTCACTCACACACCCGCTCTGCACACTGCCTTTCCACTCTATGGTACTCGGCTAGCATGTCTGGGAATGAATAGTAGAGGTTTGGGGTGTATGTACTGCGCATGCGTGCCGAGCCGGACGCCTACCTGCGAGCTTGCGCACTCGGTGGTACCTTCGCGCATGCGCATCGTCCTGGCTATTGTTGCTCTTTGTCAAATCAGGATAATTAATATTATGGACAAGCTCCACTATTAATGTATAAGTAAAAAAAAAAGTCTAGGAGGAAAAGTCAGAGCTTTTTCTTGTCGTTTATGGTCTTTTAGAAAGGGCCTTAGCCACTAAACGCTAAATTACTGTGAATTGAAATCCGAATGGCATAATTTAGGCTGATCTGGAAACATTTTCAAATGTATCTAGTGTAATTGGCTATTTTTGAACGTGTATTTTGCTAAAGGGACAATATAGGCATGCAGACCACTTCATCTCAATGAAGGGGTCTGGATGCACAGTCCCTATCCCTTTATCCCTGCAATCTAAAACATTGCAGTTTCATAGAAACTACAGATAAGGTTTCACAAATGGCTTCAATATTTCTCCTGGTACCATAACCACTACAACAGGAAATTCAAGGCCCAAATTCTCCATTTTATTTCAGTTCAACTATTTTATTCTAAAATTTTAAATAATGATTTGGGGAAGCTTTGAGATAGGGATGTCTAACACACTTTGTAGTATTCATTGTAGTTGCTTTCAGAACTGTTTTTAAAATATTGCACTCCCACCCCATATGGGGATTGTCCCTCGAGCTTCATGTTAACACCAGCATAACTGATGAATAGAGTGGTACATTTAAAAGACTCCAATGAAAACATGTTTTATTTTTCTTTATCTACAGTTTAGTAGATGTACCCCGAATGAAAACATGCATGCGCTTGATTATGCATTTTGTCATTTAGCGCATTCCTTCTCCCTGCTGGGACAGAAAGAGATCTGGGACACAGAAAGAAGAATAAAGGGAGAAGGAATAAAGAGAGAAGAGACAGAATAAAGAGAAAATGAATAAAGAGAGAAGGGATAAAGAGATCTGAGACAGAATAAATAGATCTGAGACAGAATAAAGAGATCTCAGACAGAATAAAGAGATCTGTATGATGACAGAATAAAGAGATCTGTATGATGACAGAATAAAGAGATCTGAGACAGAATAAAGAGATTTGTGACAGAATATGAAAATTAAGTGACAAAATGAAAAGTATGCCGTTTGCAATAAACTTTACATAAAATAGTTAATTTGCATTTAATTTTAATGGTTCAAAGAATGTCAGGCAAAATGGTTGGCTCTCACGCATTTTCACTTCATCAAATCTGGCTCTCTTTGGACAAAGTTTGGACACCCCTGCCTTAGACCATTAAGCACAGAGGGGCTGGACTGCTGGGGACTCTCGTTTAGCATTAAAACAGAGGAAACAGTTAAAGACTAATGCACCACAGAACTCCAGACACTATGACCACTTCAATGAGATAAAGCAGTTACAGTACGCACTGCATACACTATATACACACACTACATCAATTATACACACTGCCTCCACTACACAAAACACACTGTATTCACTATACAAAAACACACAGACACACACGTATACATTTGTGTCTGTGTATCCAGGGGAGGGCTGGCATCCTTAGGCCTGGTGGGCAAAACCAGTCAAGTGGCCCATTGCACCACCAAATCAGTTCACCATCCATGCCCACCTTTTCCTGGTTTTAGAACGGATATTGATGTTATGCTAATCAGTAGCTCTTTGCCATACCTGCTCCTTCACGGCTCTGACTTTCAATGTTGTCAGAGCGCAGGCTGAGAATCTCTGAGCCTGTGCTCTGACTCACTAACTGAGCGCCGGAACCACGAGGGAGAGGATATAATCTGACTGCACCTACTGCTGGTGCGCACAAGTGGACCACAAGCAAATCGTTTAAATTGAATATGCTGGTGTCCCCAACTTGTGAGCTGTGTTGGCCGCCGGGCATCTCTGTTGTCATGGCACCCTGCGTGACCGCACAGCTTGCACACTCCAACGGCTGGCCCTGCTGACACACGCTGATTTTACTACTTAGACATCCCTCAATATTAATACAGACATCAGAGTAAACACCAATAAATTGTGCAAACAGAGCTGATCCCCCCAAATTTATAAAGATTTGCTTACTGGATTTGTTGTAAGATTAAATCATGCCTCCTCCTCTCTCTCTCTCCCATGCGCTGTTCTGTAGGCTGGGAGGAAGTGAAGAGTAATCACAATCTCCCAGCACAGCGGCACCTGTGGCTGCATGGGGAACAGCTGGTTAATGTAATGCTGCAGGACGGCCAGCTGCCGCAGAACCTCTTTGTTCCCGTCTCTGCAAAGGGCTCCAGGCACTGCTTGCTGTGAGTGTGAGCCACTGTAAATTAGGGGCAGAGGGCACTTGCACTGCAATAAAGACAGGTCTGGGCAGGAGGAGAGTGCAGTGCAATCAGTGCACTCCCCTCCTGTGGGTCACCAGTAGACTGGTACACCTGCCCAGGATCAGAGCTGGTGCAAGGATTTTTGCCGCCCTAGGCAAGAGAAAAATTTGCCGCCCCCCATGTGACATCCCTTTGTTCTTTTTACTTCCCCCCCCTTGTTCTTCCTTCCCCCCTTGTTCTTCTTACTCCCTCTTGTTCTTATTACTACCCTTCTTACCCCTTGTTCTTCTTACTACCCCACCTGTTCTTCTTACCCTTCTTCTTACCCCCCATTTTCTTACCCCTCCTTGTTCTTCTTACCCACCTGTTCTTCTTACTCCCCCCACCTGTTCTTCTTACCCCTCCTTGTTCTTCTTACTCCCCCTTCTTCTTCTTACCCCCCTCTTCTTCTTACCCCACCCCTTCTTCTGTGTGAGGTGTGCCATATATAGGAACCACCCAGAGTGCCAGCTGCTCCAGGTACGCCCCTGCCTACAGTGTCCTTTTAATGGATTTGAATAGGAGTTTATAAATGTTGGATACATTTTAATGAGTCTGACCTAAATTAAGTGAGGTTCAAATGAAGTGCAAAAACAGTTAGGTGCTATTGGAGACTTTGTAACAAGGTTTGTTACAGTTGTGTCCTATGTTTAAAAGAAAATGTTGGTCATGCCAACAACAAGAGGACATAGTCTTAAATTAGAGGGGCAAAGGTTTAAAAATAATTTCACTAACTATTACTTTGCAGAGAGGGTAGTGGATGCATGGAATTGCTTTCTGGCTGAAGTGGTAGAGGTTAACACAGTGAGGGAGTTTAGGCATGCTTGGGATAGGCATAAGGCTATCTTTGATATAAGATGAAGCCAGGTACTAATGAAAGTATTTGGAAAACTGGGCAGACTAGATGGGCCGAATGGTTCCTATCTGTCGTCACAGTCTATGTTTCTATGATGTGGTTTACGCAATGGAATGGGCAGGGTTCTTAACAACAACTTCTTTTCCTGATCAAGATAGGTAGATTCACATTTGAGTTTCTGAGGAGATGAATAAACACTATTAAACACATACTGTTTTAGTTATTTTCTGTGTTAACTGTCAGTGACATGCAAAAGGTTTTCTGAATCTACTGACTTGGGCAGTGAAGCAGCTGCTTATTTTAAAAATAAAAATAACTGACCTTTGTCAAAACTAAAAAGTTACTTGCACACCATCCCAAATCCCTATGCACTTTAAATAACTGGTGGGTTTTTTTAGTAAATAAAGCAGCATAAAGCAATCAGAATGTCACAATATGCAGTGCTTTTTTTGGATAGTTCCTTAAAAACCATATATTTTTTGCCATGAAAAGTTAATCACTCTGGGATATTTACTAATGTGAGAGTTCAGATTCAAATTGAAGGTCATTTATGTAGTCAGAGTTATTTACTAAAAGGGAGAATTTTCTTGAATTCAAAATGGATTTTTCAAATTTAAGGCCTAAAATAGCTGTACTGAAAAAAAATTAACTTTGAACTCACTTTTAAATAGAGACATTTCTCACTTTTAGTAACGAACTCAGACTAAATAAATGATAGCCTTTTAAAGGGTTAACATGGTGAAGAGTCTTGTGTTATTTCATTGGTTTTCAGATTTGCATATACAATAATACATTTTCAAATACTATTCATCACAAAGCACTACCATACAAAATTCACAAAGGATATCATGAATAATTATTGGAAGATACTAATTCCTCAAAACTGTTAATTACAGTTTTAGCATTGCAAATAGTTTAATTATTATAGGGATTAGCTTAAACAGTAAGCAAGTTGTAATGACTAATGCACAAAGGATTCATTTGTATATGACGTTTGTTTGCCATATGCAGTGCTTAATGTGTGTGCGATACTTGCAAATGTCATATATCTTGGGCCGGTCACGACTTTTAAAGCTTCTTCCAAAGTAGCCATCATAATTTCCAAGCAAATAATTGATGGTAAAGTCAGGGTAATTAATACAATTAAAGTTGTACTAAGGAAAAAATATTTTATTGCTCCATAGTTTGTCTTTGATAGCGCGGGCTCTGCATGGGCTGGCAGGGGAGATACACTGAGGGGGTGGAGGGGCTGTGACAGAGGATAGAGGGGATGGAGTGGCTGTGACAGGGGGCAGAGGGGGGTGGAGTGGCTGTGACAGGGGGAAGAGGGGCTGTGGACAGAGAATAGAGGGGGGTGGAGGGCAGTGACAGGGGCAGAGGGGGTGGAGGGGCTGTTACAGGGGTAGAGAGGCTGTGACAGAGGGTAGAGGGGGTGGAGAGGCTGTGACAGGGGGTAGAGGGGATGGAGTGGTTGGGACAGGGGCAGAGGGGGTGGAGGGTGACAGGGGTGGAGGGCTGTGACAGGGGGTGAGAGAGGCTGTGACAGAGGGTAGAGGGGGTGGAGGGGCTGTGACAGGGGGTATGGGGGTGGAGAGGCTGTGACAGGGGTAGAGGGGATGGAGTGGTTGGGACAGGGGGGCAGAGGGGGGTGGAGGGGCTGTGACAGGGGTGGAGTGGCTGTGACAGGGGTAGAGAGGCTGTGACAGAGGGTAGAGGGGGTGGAGGCTGTGACAGGGGGGTATGGGGTGGAGTGGCTGTGACATGGGGTATATAGGGGTGGAGAGGCTGTGACAGAGGGTAGAGGAGGTGGAGGGGCTGTGACAGGGGGTAGAGGGGATGGAGGGGCTGTGACAGGGGGTAGAGGGGATGGAGGGGCCGTGACAGGGGGTAGGAGGTGGAGTGGCTGTGACATGGGGTATGGGGGTGGAGTGGCTGTGACAGAGGGTAGAGGAGGTGGAGGGGCTGTGACAGGGGGTTGAGGATGGGTGGAGGGGCTGTGACAGGGGATAGAGGGGGTGGAGGGGCTGTAACAGGGGATAGAGGGGGTAGAGGAGCTGTGACAGGGGGTAGAGGTCGTCAGCACACACTGCACACTGACGTAAATATCTTCCTCTTGCATGTTGCTTCTGAAAGCAAACAAACACATTCATACATATAAAAGACAAACACAATTACAATTATTTATATAGCGCCAACATATTCTGCAGTGCTGTACAATAAGACAGGCAATACATTTTAACAAAACATGATTGGCATACTGGAACAGTAGGTGAAGAGGATCCTCCCCAAACATGATTACAAAATAAAACATAAAGACACACACTCGTTCAAATTTTAGTTTATACATACATAAACTCACATACAATACACACACTCATAAAAAAGACTATTACTAACGTGAGAATTCTAAGTGACTTTCAAATCTAAGGCGAGAGTAGCTGCACTGAAAGCATAGCTGACTTAAGAGATTTTTTTCCAGTTTGTCTGTTATGACCTTAAATTTGAAATTTACTTTTAATTCACTTTGAATTCTCATTTTAGTGAATAATCCTGTTAATGTTACACTTTTGTTTCTGTTTACACAGCCCTAGCCACACCTCCCTGGCCTGTGACTCACACAGCCTGCCTGAAAAAAAAAAGAGTTAATTTTCAATCATCGCAGTGTGTTCACTTTAGAATTTTTTTGTCTCGTGCTCTGTTAATTGAATTTTCATCACACACAGGAGGCTACTGCAAGTTCTAGAAGGCTACTAACAGTGCAGGAGAGAAGAAATTCTAAATTAAACAGACTGTGCCATATAGAAAGTTTAAACATTAGATCTTTACAGGAGTATGTTGAGAGATTGTGTAGATCACATGCATGGGAGGTATGGCTGCATAAACAAAGTGATTTAACTCTTAAATGGCAGAGAATTGAGCAAAACTACTCAATTAAGCTAACGTTGTTTTGGTGCTTATAATGTCCCTTAAATGATTACACTTTTAAGGGGACAAAATTGGACAACAATTTGCTTTGGAACTATTCCTTAATCTAAATAAGGATACCTAGATCTTGAGTGAGTCACAGCAGTAAATGTGCCCCAGATATAAAGCTTAAGAATAAGACTCCAAAAGGGGACAGCCTAGGTTGCAGCACACACATGCGCCACTGTTTGCCTTGCATCTACCAGGTTGTCTCTGTAATGTGTGATCTTTTGGCATTTAGAATTTGTGCTTATTAATAGTAGTATTTGTGGAAACCTAGAACACAACCAGGTCTTCCAATTATGCAGTGAGATAGTCTTGATTCGTTGCATTGTAGCCCACAAAGTCCCACTTATTTCTCCTCACTTCAGCATCAGCAGAAATATATTCCTCTGCCAGGCTTTGCTCAGCCCCTCTACATCTCTGCAGACAGACTGTAAACATTGGCACATATCCCATCTCACCCATTGTACTGAAGGCTTTGCAGTTCAGACTTCAGAGTCATTCCAGTATCCAGGGTCTCCTAGTCCTGATGGCAATATTAGGAAGCTGCATTCCTGAAAAAATTGTGATTATATTCTTTAAAAATAACATTACATTTCTGTGACACTTGCTGTGTTTGAAAATAATTGCATTTCTTCATTTATACTAATATTAGCAAATAGAGGTGATAAAATGTAATCTGTAAACCATTTATTTTTTATCCCACCACCATACCTCTTTAAATAATGAATCCCTTTGTGCTATTGGTTTTAAGGAAAAAGAACTTGTTATTGAAGGGGTCAATTCACTCTCTATGTGGCTACTTTTATAATTCCTATATTTTAGCCAATATTGTTTTTTGGGATACTTTAGTCGTACCCATATAAAACAGAATACTTGGAATACCTATTCAAAAAATATATCACATGCATTAGCATATAATTTGGATCAACATTTATTTACACAGACAGGGTGTGACCATAATCACATTGGAACTATTCCTAAATTGTCTTCAGGCATGCAAGTAATATTAAGTAATAGTTTTGAACAAGAGAAAAAAATCTTTATACATGTCTGTACTTATGAACCTTTTAAATTAAATTTTTTTCCAGGGATTTCTGTCAATCAAAGATCAATAAGCAACCCTCCACCGTTAGTTTATTTACTTGATAGACAATTAGAAAATATTTCTCACCCCCAGTCTCCCTGTTTTTTTTTTTTTTAATTCTTATTATCTACTCCACATTTACTATATAGAAACAAAGTATAACAAACAAACATAATGTATCAATAAATGTGAAAAATGTGAAATACACCCTCATTTAAACTGATCACAATGGGTGTTTGAAAGTGTAAATGCTGCCATCTCAGCTTTTCAGAAACCAGAGCTTCAAGTTTTCTACTAAGCAAAATACTTTTATGTGGCCACTATATATATTGTAAATTGGCACTGTGAGTTAGTACTCTATAGATAAGTCTGAATACAAAACACCTAAAACTGAGAATAATGTGCTCTAACATATACATTCTCTTATGTAGCGAGGTCAGATAACACAAGTAAGAAAGTATTAAAACGTGGGGGTATATCTACTAAATGTACATTTTATCTTTAACTCGTAGTCTAGGAGATAACTACATAGGTAGCTGCACTGAAAGCATAGCTGACTTAAGATATTTTTTCCAGTTTGTCTCTTATGACCTAAAATTTGAAATTCACTTTTAATTCACTTTGAATTCTCATTTTAGTAAATAATCCTGTTAACGTTACACTTTTGTTTCTGTTTACACAGCCCTAGCCACACCTCCCTGGCCTGTGACTCACACAGTCTGCCTGAAAAAAAAAAAGTTAATTTTCAATCATCGCAGTGTGTTCACTTTAGAATTTTTTTTATCTTGTGCTCTGTTAATTGAATTTTCATCACACACAGGAGGCTACTGCAAGTTCTAGAAGGCTACTAACAGTGCAGGAGAGAAGAAATTCTAAATTAAACAGACTGTGCCATATAGGAAGTTTAAACATTAGATCTTTACAGAATATGTTGAGAGATTGTGTAGATCACATGCATGGGAGGTATGGCTGCATAAACAAAGTGATTTAACTCTTAAATGGCAGAGAATTGAGCAAAACTACTCAATTAAGCTAACGTTGTTTTGGTGCTTATAATGTCCCTTAAATGATTACACTTTTAAGGGGACAAAATTGGACAACAATTTGCTTTGGAATTATTTCTTAATCTAAATAAGGATACCTAGATCTTGAGTGAGTCACAGCAGTAAATGTGCCCCAAATATAAAGCTTAAGAATAAGGGGGGGCGGGGCCTGGCGGCCAAGATGGCAGGACGCGTCTGATCACAGCTCCGACATTGCCGGCCATAAAATTCACCTCAACAGGAATCTCTCTGCCGAAAACAACCCTCTGAGACCCGGGGGCTGGTCTGCTTCTGAGTGGGCACACAGCGATACCCGAATCCTGTAGCTCCCCCCAATGGAACAGCGGATGGGCCTCGCGGCCTAACCTGAAGCCGACGCACGCGGATATCGCGGGAGAGATGGCCGCTCTCCCTCGGCCACGGTGCGCAGCAACCCTCGGCAGGGGACCCCGTCCCCCCCCCCACGGACCGGCGGGGGTCATCCCGGTCCCCCCACAGACAACAAAGCGGGCCCCAGCTGTATTACCACGACGCACCCCACCTAACCAAGCACAGCCTGGAAGCCAGATTCAAGCAGGTACTCACCTATAGCCAGTAAAAGGGAACATAGACGACAAGTGAGAGACACGAGGCCAGTCTAAAATGGCGGCCGGCTCAGATACCCGCACAAAGCGACTGACCCCCAGCGAGTGGGCAATTGCCTTTCAAGCAAGCTTTGAGGCCATATGCAGGCGATTCTGGGCAAGCATGGAGGCCAGACACCAGCCCCAAAAGCCACCAACGGGCAGCACTACAGCTAACACACCCACAGCACGACAACCAGACGGTGCTTCTCACCCTAAAAGGCAACAGACCAGGGCGCAGCTGAAGGTGCCCCAACCGAGCAAGGTACGCAACAAACCTCTACAGCACCAAATGACTAGTCCACCTGGGACTAGAGCTACACGGGGCGCGACCCCTACACGCCACCCAGGCCGGCGAAAGAAAACAAAGCACCGGCTGAAACACCGGAGTGAGACCCTATGTAGCCACACACCAAATCACAAGCCTCAGCCACACAAGCGGAAAGCTACAGGGGACAAATGTCGCACCCGGCTTTCAACTAACGGCGCTCACCGCATCAATCCCTCCTGGAAGACCACAAGACCTCAAGCACACAGCCAGGGAGCAGCAGCTCCCCAACAACCTCAAGGTGGGAGAAGCACCTCACCTCCACAGCGCTACGCTGCACCTAAAAACGGACTCTGTCCACGAGCATACAGTGACCACCGCAGGGGCATTGGCTGATTGAACGGAGTCTGCACCAGAGGAGCGAGCTGGATCCCCTGCAACCCACGGGCACCATCCTCACCCAGGACTCTTGATACACTAGGGGACGCTGGACCAGATGACATCCCCTCGCATCCTTCCTGTGGACACTCACATTAACTTAACATTAAACTGACTTATACATTGCCTGTTTAGCAAGCACACCAGACCGGTTGCCATGCACTTTTTCTTTTTACCCCGTTAAACACAACTTGCCCAAGCATTCACATCCTAAAGCCTCTTTTCACACTCTGGGCAGGACAATTTTGCTTCCTGTAGGCCCACCCAAGTTTATATATTATGACTTGATGTTACAGCATATAATATTGTTTAGCGTATGAGTGACTTCCAGCATATAAGGAGTGTTCAGCATATCAACCATCTTAACAGGCTAAATGTCAGGAATGCGGGGATCTGCATTTAATAATGATCTATCTTCACCTTGAGCAGTACAGTACCTAACTAATTTGTCTGGGGTCGGGGCTACGCATACGACTAAATGCTTAACTGCCGAGCTAACCTACATAACCTTACGCAATCTCGCTACATAGGCTTTGTTTTATTCTTACTGGTTTGCTTCCTGGTAACTAGCCTAGTACAGTTCTTTATAACCCTCATACAAAAATGTGCATCTGTTTTTCTATGCCACAACTGTTATACTCTGTCAATTTCAATGCATGTTTCTGCTGTTGGGGCATGACATGAATGCTTGTTCAATTAATCTATGCACGAAAAATAAAGAATTAAAAATAAAAAATAAAAAAAAAGCTTAAGAATAAGACTCCAAAAGGGGACAGCCTAGGTTGCAGCACACACATGCGCCACTGTTTGCCTTGCATCTACCAGGTCGTCTCTGTAATGTGTGATCTTTTGGCATTTAGAATTTGTGCTTATTAATAGTAGGATTTGTGGAAACCTAGAACACCACCAGGTCTTCCAATTATGCAGTGAGATAGTCTTGATTTGTTGCATTGTAGCCCACAAGGTCCCACTTATTTCTCCTCACTTCAGCATCGGCAGAAATATATTCCTCTGCCAGGCTTTGCTCAGCCCCTCTACATCTCTGCAGACAGACTGTAAACATTGGCACATATCCCATCTCACCCATTGTACTGAAGGCTTTGCAGTTCAGACTTCAGAGTCATTTCAGTATCCAGGGTCTCCTAGTCCTGATGGCAATCTTAGGAAGCTGCATTCCTGAAAAAATTGTGATTATATTCTTTAAAAATAACATTAAATTTCTGTGACACTTGCTGTGTTTGAAAATAATTGCATTTCTTCATTTATACTAATATTAGCAAATAGAGGTGATAAAATGTAATCTGTAAACCATTTATTTTTTATCCCACCACCATACCTCTTTAAATAATGAATCCCTTTGTGCTATTGGTTTTAAGGAAAAAGAACTTGTTATTGAAGGGGTCAATTCACTCTCTATGTGGCTACTTTTATAATTCCTATATTTTAGCCAATATTGTTTTTTGGGATACTTTAGTCGTACCCATATAAAACAGAATACTTGGAAAACCTATTCAAAAAATATATCACATGCATTAGCATATAATTTGGATCAACATTTATTTACACAGACAGGGTGTGACCATAATCACATTGGAACTATTCCTAAATTGTCTTCAGGCATGCAAGTAATATTAAGTAATAGTTTTGAACAAGAGAAAAAAAATCTTTATACATGTCTGTACTTATGAACCTTTTAGATTAAATTTTTTTCCAGGGATTTCTGTCAATCAAAGATCAAGAAGCAACCCTCCACCGTTAGTTTATTCTACTTGATAGACAATTAGAAAATATTTCTCACCCCCAGTCTCCCTGTTTTTTTTTTTTTTAATTCTTATTATCTACTCCACATTTACTATATAGAAACAAAGTATAACAAACAAACATAATGTATCAATAAATGTGAAATACACCCTCATTTAAACTGATCACAATGGGTGTTTGAAAGTGTAAATGCTGCCATCTCAGCTTTTCAGAAACCAGAGCTTCAAGTTTTCTACTAAGCAAAATACTTTTATGTGGCCACTATATATTGTAAATTTGCACTGTGAGTTAGTACTCTATAGATAAGTCTGAATACAAAACACCTAAAACTGAGAAGAATGTGCTCTAACGTATACATTCTCTTATGTAGCGAGGTCAGATAACACAAGTAAGAAAGAATTAAAACGTGGGGGTATATCTACTAAATGTACATTTTATCTTTAACTCGTAGTCTAGGAGATAACTACATAGATAGTAAGAGGACTATTATAAACTTCAACAGAGGAGACGATTAGTCCTCTTCTAACTTTTCCCTTAATTTGTTGTCCTGCCTGTAATCTATTCAGAAGAAAAACAACTGGTGGCTCCAGGCAGGTACCTTACGTTAATTATCTTACCATCACTCAGAGAAGAGTAAATTGCCTTCTTTGCTTAAATTACAGTGGCTAAAGTGGAGCTTACACAAAAGATTTTTGTTTGTTGGGTGACTTTTTTTGCATTTCTTTACATACACATTTCATTTTTGCTGAGCATTTTGTAAATCTGATCAGGGCCAGATGAAGAGGCCAGTGGGCCTGGTGCTGACAATTATGAGGGGCCTAAGTACAGAAACTTAACGACCAAAAACACTCATACCTTTCAAGCGTTATGTATCTGGTGGGGTTTGTTGCCAGAGGGAAACTCAAAGGATGCAGCTATAAGAAAACTCAGATTTTCTTAAAATATGCTCATCTCTCTCTAATTCATGCTTTTATCTTTCAAGTAAATCCATACACCCTAACCGCAGTGTCCAGTGAAGCAGGAAGTCAATGGGCGGTGTAAAAAGGTGGGCCACTGATGCGGATCATGTAACCAGAACTCCCGAAAAGGACAAACATACACAAAAAGGAGGTGTGTGTGTCCAAAGAATTGGAAGGCTTGCCTGGCATGAATGCATGTGAGGCTGCCTGCCAATCATGCATGCTGGCCAACAGCATCCTGAGCTTGGCATAAATGCATTTAATGATGCACTCGCTCAATGCTTTCTAAGGACTGTCCTCTAGCACTCACATGTCTCCTTACCTTCTTACTAGCAGGCAGAAGCTCCTGGTATTCAGTCTGAGACAGAGAAAAGGTGGATGTAGTGAGTTTAGAAGAAAGGGAACATGCAACAGTGTTAGAGAGACCAAAGTCAGCATTACCTTAACTAATTTAATTTCAGCTAGTCCACACACGTTTTGTTTCCATACATCCCTCTTGAGTTTCCATACTTAAGCAAGAGTATGTGAAGAGTAGTTAGGGTTGCCACCTTTCTTGAAAAAAAATACAGGCCTTTCTAATTTGCATAACTAATTATGTATGCGTGACATCACTTGATGTAAATCACAAGGAGTGACATAAATTAAAATTCTGTAAAATCACCAAAAATCTACTTACAGTTTAATTCTGCTGTATAGATAAATTGCTCCCAGTGTCCTCATGTCGCCCAGTGTCCCCATGTCGTCGAGTGTCCCTTAGTGTCTGTTTCCCCATGTCTAGGGGACACTGTGAGACATGGGGACACAGACACTTGAGGACACTGGGGGATACTGAGACTATGTATCACAGTGTCCCTATGCATCATAGTGTCTCAGTGCCCCATGTCTCCCAGTGTCCCCATGTTGCCCAGTGTCCCCTAGTGTCTGTGTCCCCATGTCTCCCAGTGTCCCCTATGGAAGTCCAGTGGTGTTTGGAAATCAAGTAGCCGATTTCGGTTCTAGGCACTCGACGACCAAACACCGCTGAACTCTAACAAAGCAAAGATGGCTGCCACCACGTGTTCGGTACACGAACGGTGGCCACACACAGAACGCTCATTAACAGATGGATACAGTGTTTCGGTTTTACTAACGAGCGGCACACAACCTTCTGGGGTGGTCTCCCATTCGGTCTTTTAGTTCGTTTCACAAACAGGGTTGGAATCCACTATTCGTGAAACTTGCAGCAGCGTGTTAGCGGTATTCGTGTGCTGTAACACACGAATGCATATGAACATTAGGTGAAAATCTTTGCATACGCATGAATTTAACAGGGGTTAAGTGGCTCACGAATAGAGACACAATGGAAACAAACATCAGGCATATATATACATAATACTCTGTAAGTGGCTAGGTTTGCCACAATGCTCCCCCAGAACCAAGCCGGCATATACAGTCTGATCTCGGGACAAAAGATTTCTGCTTAAGTAAGCTACGGGATGCTCGCTGCCATCTGCTCCGACTTGGCTCAGTACTGCTCCTAATCCAAACAATAAAGCGTCTGTATGGACGAGAAAGCGTTTAGTTGGATCAGGAGCAGCCAGTACAGGTGCGTTAAGAAGAGCAGTTTTTAATTGTTGGAATGCCCGTTCACACTCTGGGGCCCATACTACTAACTTAGGGAGGTTTTTGCGGGTTAAATCCGTAAGGGGTTTCGCCAGGGTACTGTAATCGGGCACAAATTTGCGATAGTACCCTGCGGTACCTAAGAATGCTAGGACCTGGTTTTGGTACCGGGTGTTGGCCATTTGGCTACGGCCTCTATTTTTGCCAGTTCTGGCTTTTGCTGGCCGCTTCCTACCCGGTGTCCTAGATACCGAACGTCGGCCATCCCTATATGGCACTTACTGGGTTTAAGGGTTAGCCCTGCGTCTCTAATGCGCTCTAATACGGCTCCTACATGGCTCAGGTGGTCGGTCCAGGAATAGCTAAAGATCGCTATGTCGTCTAGATATGCGCACGCGTATTCCTGAAACTCATCTAATAGTCGGTCCACCATCCTTTGGAAGGTGGTCGGAGCATTTTTCATCCCAAATGGCATGACCCTAAACTGGTACAGGCCAAATGGGGTGACAAACGCCAACTTAGGGATGGCGTCCTCGGCTAAAGGAATTTGCCATTACCCTTTACAAAGATCTATCGTGGTGGGGTACTGGCCCCTGGCCATCTTGACTAAGAGCTTGTCTATCCGGGGCATAGGGTAGGCATCCGATACTGTTTTATCTTGGCGCCTCCGATAATCTACGCAGAAGCAGGTAGTTCCATCCCGCTTCGGCACTAGTACTACTGGGGAAGCCCATGGACTATCCGAATGTTCGATAACCCCTAATTGTAACATTTCCTCAATCTCCTTACGCATATTCTCTTTTACAGACTCGGGGATGTGGTAAGGAGGTTGGCGGAGGGGTGTTTGTCCTGGGGTTTCTACCCAGTGGGTGGCTAATGGGGTATACCCTGGGAGATTAGAAAAGGTGGCCCTTTTTCCCTAATTAAACTTTGGGCCTGGGTTCTCTCCTGAGGATTCAAGCGCTCCCCTAGCTGTGTGGCTTCCAGATCCTCATTTTCGCCTTCTCTCGCCAGGAGGTCTGGTAGCAGCACGTTATCAACATCTTCCGCGGCAGAGGCACAGATCGCGGTTACCTCTTCTGTGCGCTCGTGGTAGGGTTTCAGCATGTTCACATGGAGCATGTGTCTGCCACCTGCACCAGCGCACGGGCCAATTATATAGGTGGTTTCGCAGATTTGCTCTACCACCTTGAATGGGCCCTGCCAGGAGGCCTGCAGCTTGTCACTAGGGACGGGTAGTAGGATTAACACCTTCTGCCCGACCTGAAAGCTGCGGTCCCTGGCCCCCCTATCATACCATATGCGCTGTCGTTGTTGGGCCGCCTGGAGGTTGTTCCGTACCGTCAGTGTTAAAGCCTCCAAGCGCTCCCGGAACTCCAGTACATATGGTACAATAGGGGTACCATTAGTGGTAACTCCCCCCTCCCAGTGCTCTCTAATTAAATCTAGGGGTCCCCTCACTCTCCTCCCAAACAATAATTCAGAGGGCGAGAACCCTGTGGATTCCTGTGGCACTTCCCTATAGGCGAACAGCAAGTGGGGTAAAAAACGCTCCTAGTCTTTCTGTGTGTCTATGAACGTCCGGATCATCTGTTTAAGTGTTCCGTTGAATCGTTCACAGAGACCGTTGGACTGGGGGTGGTAGGGTGAGTTTAGGATAGATTTTACCCCACATACTTTCCAGAGCTGGTGAGTGAATATTCGCATAAGGGCATTCGCTATGGTCTCGGCATGTACATTTGTTAGGGCCACTGCTTCGGGGTATCTGGTGGCGTAGTCCACTATGGTCAAGATGTACTTCTTGCCGGAGGGAGTGGGCTTTTTCAGCGGTCCGATTATGTCTACCGCTACTCAACTAAAAGGGACTTCTATTAGAGATAGGGAATGGAGTTTGGCTTTATAGCAGTCTCCCCTTTTCCCTACCCTCTGGCAGTTATCGCAGTTATTACAATATTGTCTAATATCCTTGGAGATACCTGGCCAGAAGTTCTGGGTCAGACGATGTTTAGTTTGGCTGATCCCTAAATGACCTGACAAAGGTATGTCGTGTGCTATACGCAGTAACTCCTGTCTGTACTTTTGAGGCACAATTAACTGTTTTATGGGGATGGGGATAGACCCGGCTACTACCTTCTCTGCATACCGGTATAATAACCCTTTATCCCAAGCATATCTTTCTCCTTCTAAGCCTGCCTGGTTCTTGTCTATTCGGTCTTTGTAAACCTGCAGGGAAGGATCTAGGGCGACCTCGCTACCAAATTCTAGAGGGGCATTCCAGGGAAGGGCAGTGTGATTATGGGTTTCATCACTTACCTGACCCTCAGAATCACTGGATTGTGCCGTGGTGCGAGCCTGCTGCCTGGTGACGACTGGGTATGCCTCCTGTACGGTGGTTCGAGGAACAAAAGCGGAGGTGAGCTCCGCCAAGTCATTTCCCAAAATCACATCCGCTGGCAAGTCTTGCATCATTCCCACCTCCACGTTCCCTGACCCCGTTTCCCAATTCAAATGTATCTTGGCAGTGGGAACCTTGTAGATTGCTCCCCCTGCCACCCGTACTGCTATACAATCCCCCGTAAGTTGGTCTTTTGGGACAAGGTGATTTCGGACCAAGGTGATCTCTCAGTGCTTCCATACGTTTCCCTTCTACGTGGACAACTTGTCGATGGCTTTGGCAGTTGCCGGATGCCGCTTGAACGGGGTTAACTTCGTGGAGAGTGCCTAGAGGTTCCTCCGCCTGGGTGGCTGTGGAGGGCCCCAGTCTGGTAGCAGTGTACTGCAGCCCTAGGGCCAGGCGGTTGGCCTTGGTTGGGCCATGCTGGTCATGCCCTATTTCGGGGCAATTCTCTTTGTACATGCCCTAATTGGTTGCAGGTGTGGCATCGGATGTGCGCCTGGGTGGGATACCTAGGTTGGTATTTGTTGTTGGCTCCCCCCGATCGTGGGTGAGCTGGATCAGCCAAAGCAGGCCGGTGGGTGATTGGCTGGGGAAATACCTTAGGCAGTGGGCGTTGCTCTCGTCTAGTGTCTTTGTGTTCATCTGCCAATTTGGCTGCGTCTTGTAAGGTACATGGTTTACGGTCCCTTACCCAGTTCTGCATCTCTGTAGATAATCTCCGGTAGAACTGTTCCAACAGCAGTAGTTGCATGATCTCGTTCTGTGTAGTTGCTTGCGCCGCCTCAATCCACCATGTGGCTGCTCGTTGTAAGCGGTGTGCAAACTCAGCGTGGGAGTCCTTTTCCTGTTTTTTCAGGTCCTGGAATTGGAGTCGGTATGCCTCAGGGGTAATGGCATACCGAACTAGGATGGCTTGTTTCACCTTCTGGTAGTCTCTGCTGTCCTCATCAGGCACGGCCCGGTAGGCTTCCTCTGCATTGCCAGATAATTTACCGGCTAGCAGGGGTACCTGATCTTGGGGCCTGATATCATGCAGCTGGCACAGTCTTTCAAAGTCCTGCAAATATCTGTCAATATCCCCCTCTGTGTCTGTAAAATTTTTAAAAGCCTGGTAGGGAATTTTTGGTTTTCCCTGTATCATGCTGGGTGAAGCCGGCGACTCCTCTCTGGCTTGCTGGTTGGGTTGGACCCCCCTGGCTATGAGGTATTCTTGTACATCTACCATGATCCTTTCAAAAATCTCTGGGGTTGGTGTAGCTGGATACAGGGCCAACCTACTCCTGAATTCTTTCTGAAATTCAGTTTGTTCCTCCTCCCTTGGAGGTGCTGCAGCAGCTGCTGCTCTGTCTCCTTCCATGAGCTCAGCAATAAGGGTAGCCTTTGTCTTGTTGCTGGCTATTGTTCCCCTTGCTTCCAGTAGCTCCTTCAATGTGCTCCGTTTCAAAAGTGCATAATTCGTTTCCATTCACCGGCTGTTCGTGTGATTGCACGTATTCGTTTCATCCGAATGGTTATCTCCCGAATTGCTGTTTCTTTTCCTCTGTTTGCATTAATTTCTGCTGAACGTTGCTTTGCTGTGTGGTTTAAATCCCGTCGCTTGCCACCAATTGTAGCGGAGTAGTAGTATTATCCACGGTATCTCCGCTGGTAGACAGAATGAAGCAGGTACAAAGTAGGCAAAATCCAGTTAGTGTAGTTACAATCCCTTTCTCCCAAGAACTAGACGACAGATAGCTTGGAGGTTTTAATCACAGGTCACAGTATTTATGCGGTTACAAATGTAATGGGTTTCCCAAGTCACATTACAGGGGTTGTCCAGTAGTGGACTACATGGGGCACTGAGCTTACAGTCTGATTACCCAGCATACACTGCTGTACCAGAGAAATAATTACGTTATTAATAGGCACAGGGAAAATTAAATTCGCTAACTTTTGCAATTACCCACATATTTTACCGAATGACCCCTCATTAGATTGCAGGGATCGATCAGTACAATCTACTGAAGTAGCGCTCTGATCCCTGCAGAAACAACCGAACGCTGCTTGCAATAAACATTTACCCGAAGGGGTTTTAGCAGAGAAAACTCACGAATGGGTTTATTTTCCCGAAGGAGAGACTTTCCCGACTGCTATGGAAGTCCAGCGGTGTTTGGAAATCAAGTAGCCGATTTAGGTTCCGGGCACTCGATGACCAAACACCTCCGAACTCTAACAAAGCAAAGATGGCCGCCACCACATGTTTG